TCAGCAGGATAGGGAAATGGAGAAGGGATTGTGACATGACCATGCTCCACTGGAGAATGCTTTCTTGAAACCTCTGTCTCTGTCTCTTTCTGGTAAGCACACATGCTTTCTAGCAAATAAAATAAAGTAATAAATTATATTTACTATTTTTAAAAAGAGCATTCAAATACTTTTTATAAGACACATTCTAAGATAATTTTACTTTAAAATAAAAGAACAAAGGGATCAGCAGATGGCATAATGGCTGCATCGCTGGACTCCGACATAGTGATTGTGATTTGAGTTCCAGACCTGGAAGCATAAAGCTCATACTGTGCGTGTGTGTGTGCCCAAAATCCCAAGAGGAGAATGGAGGGGAAAGGATTGCAGTGTGTTCATCCACCCTGGGGGGTGATTTCTCACTTTCTGTCTCTCTGTCTCTCTTTGGCTTTCCAGTGAGTACACGTGCCCTATAGCAAAAATCTCTCTTAAAATAAATAATAAATAAATAAATAAGCAACTCTTCCTCTGGTACAGCCAGAAGTGATGCCAGCCAGCACAATGCCTCAAGTCAGCTATCCTGGGTCTGCAGCTGGGTCTGTCTGGTCACTGGTCGGCCACACATACCAGAGTACGTAGATTCAACTCACCTTACTGGATAAAGGACTAGCCTCGTATTTTAGATCCCGAAATGCTTCATGACCTGTTCATGTCAACTGCAATGTCCAAAAGCTGTGTTCTGTGAACTGGTGTCCACTGTTGATAAGCTAAAAGTTAACGCCTCCGTTTTATGATAGTCCTAGTATAAGATCAGACACAACCTCAGTAACAGACCGACTGCTATAAAATGCTTGGTTTTGCTGGGTTCAGTGTACTGGAATGTATAGCCATGTGTATATGGAGATATCACACTGCAGTTCCTTCTCCTTCATTCTCCTCTCAAGATTTGGGGCATACATGCACACATGCCTGGTGTGTTTTTCAAGCTACCAGGTCCAGGACCTGAACTGTGTAGTCAACCATGTGGGATAGAGCTGCCTAAGCGGTCATACCACTGACTGGCCCTATGCTCATTCCTTTAGAGGTTTTCTTTTCCCATCCTCTTAGAAGTGTATGCACGCACACACAATGTTTGTTTCTTTTTGTGCATTCTATATTTTCTAAATAGTCAACAATGAGCAAAATTCTTTTCCAATCAAAATAAAAGGGAAGGACTGGTTTTAAATGGATGCTCCATAAATATAAGAAGCTACCAGTGTCTTCAGTAACTCCTTTCTTGTTTGGCCACAGTTAGAAGCTTCTAGCACATTTTACTCCTAAGACTTTTTAAACCTGACTTCTGAAAATAACAACAGACCTTTTTGTTATTGTGTTCAAGTTACTGGGATTCATGTTTTCATCCTTCAGAATGCAGAGCCCTTTAGTGCTTCCTGTCTCTGATTTCTGGGCTCTTTAGAGATTAGAAAGTACCACAGGGGGCCGGCAAGTGGCATGGTGGTTAAAGGCGCTGGACTCCCACATGGTCAACCATGGTTCAAGTCTCGGACCTGGTGGCTTGCTTTCTCACTTCCTCTCTCTTTCTCTGTCTCTCTCTGATCAAACTGGAAAATAATAATGATAATAATAATAAATAAAGTTAAATAAAATAATTCTTTAAAAATAAAAAAGTACCACAGACAGCACCATGGCTCCCAGAGGCTGTGGGCACAGCTGTCTGTCTCAGGCACAGTGAAAAGGAAAGGAAGTGTATTTCCACAGTTTTTCCTCCTCACATTTTCATTTCTTCCCTCTTCACACAGGCCACCTCTGCTTTTAGTTATTTATCTGTTTGCTATGGGTCACATGCTTTCACTAGAGAGGCAGGAAAAGAGAGAAAGCACCCACCAGGGGAGATATCACACTGTAGTTCCTTCTCCTTCATTCTCCTCTCAAGATTTGGGGCATACATGCACACATGCCTGGTGTGTTTTTCAAGTTACCAGGTCCAGGACCTGAACTGTGTAGTCGACCATGTGGGATAGAGCTGCCTAAGCGGTCATACCACTGACTGGCCCTATGCTCATTCTTTTAGAGGTTTTCTTTTCCCATCCTCTTAGAAGTGTATGCACGCACACACACACTCACACACATACACACATAAACACACACACATGAGTAAATCAGGTTCTTTCACATCATTGATGCATTCAATGATAGACTTTAATTCCATTGCTAGGAATTAATTATAATAGAAACAAATGGAGCATCTCAGCGTTCACCAGGGCCTTATGAAGAACTGAGACATCCTGCAGCTCCTGTCTCTCAGCTCTCTGCAAACATTCTTCCTGGGCCCGTGGTGATAAAGACTCCTCTGTGTGACTGAGGGGGGATCCTATTGGGTCTGCTATTCACTTAGGTACCAAGACACCTCAGAGGCCAGCCTATTAGATGAACACTTTTGTGTTAGGCACTCAGTTATGGCCATGATCCAAAGCAAGACAATGAGTACAAGGACTTCTTTCTTCTGGTTGCTTTGCCAAAAAGGGGTATGTCAGGGGACCATACTTCTCTTTGGCTCACTCTGCTGCCTGCTCCCGTGTATCTTCCTACTGCCTCTGGCTATGCTGGTCTCCTTCTCTTGATCTCTTCTTCTATTCCTTTCCCTTGAAGTGTCCTACACTATTTTGCTATTAATGTTTCCATGAGGATGCCCTTGGCCTTCGGATGATGTCACACTTTATCCACCCACACAGCCAATGTATTTTTGTGTGCTTATCAAGTCTTGGCAATAGGTAGACTTCTCCTTTTGGTAGGAGACATAAAATAAAATTCCAATAAATTCCAAAAGGGTTACATCTTGGACAAATTCTGCATTTTACATAAAGGGAAAATTTTTTTGTAACAATTTGATCTTTTAATGTATCATTGCAATGATGCAATATGTGCGTTCTTGAAAGTTCCTTAAGGAACTTTTAGCACAGCAGTAACACATCTTGATCCACATGAAAAAGGTCCTGTGTTCTTATCCCAGGACTCTGAATATGTTGGATACACGTGTGCATACTCATGATTCGGGCCATGTAAGACTAGGGATGGATTGCAGGATAAAGACTTCGTTAGGGGTTCTTGTCTCTCTTTTTCTCTCTCCCTCTACTCTTAACTCTGTCTCTCTCACTCTCTCTCACAGAATAAATAAACTTATGTCTATATAAAGTTCATCGAATGTGAGGCCAATAATACCTCTATTAATATAATTTATAATTAGTTTGAATTATTTTACAACTTCAACAAATATTTATATTCATAAATGCCAAAAACAGAATATGCTTTTTAACAAACCTGAACAGTATATAAGGAGGTATATATTTTATTTCAGATATTTGTTCTAATAGCCTTTTTTTTTAAAGTTTATTTCTTTTTTTTATTCCATAAGTGAGAGACACACAGAAAGAGAAAGAAAGACACACAAGTACCCCAATAGGGTCTTTATGCTTTTCATGCCACAATCCATCCCCAGCTTCAACCTACTCTGGGCATGCCCCTGGATGTGAACCCAGCACCTGTGTGGTTGTCCATGCAGAGCTTTCCATTACTGCCAGGCCACTGTCTGGCCCCTCTTCTCATTATCTATTACCAGCTGCTCCTGATGTCTTTTCTGAGGTCTTTCCACATCTGTTGTTTGTTTGTTTGTTTCCCTCTTTGTCTCTATTTTTAAATAAACTTACCCAGTAGTCGTGCGCTACCATCATTTCACTTCCACTTTAATTTTACAAAGCTTAGCATTCCATAATGTACCCTGACTTTGTGGGTTTTTTGTTTTTAATTTGCTAGTGAGCCTGTGCACTCACCAGAGACAGAGAGAGAGAGAGGGAAAGTGAGAAAGCACCCCCATAGAAGATGATCTTGCTGCAATAACTTCTCCTCCATTTCTCCCACCTTTCAGGATGTTGAGCACACATGTACATGTTCCTGGTGTGTTTTTCAAGCCAGCAGCTCCAGGACTTGAGCTATTAAGTCGTCCTTTAAGATCCAGTCACCTTCACCACATTTCCAGCTAATCTGTGTCTTAGCATTTGGAAAAGATGAAATGTTGCCATTAGTACTTCACATTATTACTGTATGACAATCAAATATTGCTAATACCCTCTAGATATAATAACTCAATAAAAATAGGCGTTAGAAGGAGTGAGGAGGGACCAGCAGATGGGGAATTGGTTGTGTTGCTGGATTCCCACAATTCCCACAACAGTCGACCACAATTCGAGTCCCAGAGCTGCCACCCTAAAACTCCTACTGGGCACGTGTGTGAGTGCCCAAAATCCCAAGAGGAGAATGCAGGAGAAGGGACTGTGGCATGGCCATCCCTTCGGTGGTGGGGTGGGATTTCTCACTTTCTGTTTCTCTGGTGAGTGTACATCTCTATAGCAAAAATCTCTAGGAAAAAAAAAAAAAAAGGCATTGTGTTCTCGTTAATAGCAAAAATCTCTAGGAAAAAAAAAAAAAAGGCAGTGTGTTCTCATTCATGGAGAGACTAAATGGATGTCCTTGATGGTCCCTGCCTGTAGATCTTTTGCATTTTTTGCTGTTATCAGTGTATGTCTTTACACTGGCCTGTTGCTCGTCAGAAAAGACATGGATCTATTGATTATACCATGTTTATGAGTTGTGTAATTCACTTTAGATTTCAGAAAGATTTTCATGCACTTTCAAGAAATGTTCCATGAACAGTTTAAAAAAAAAAAAAAGGGATAATGTTAAATCGGCAGGGCATTCTGCTGATATGAAAAAACCCAAATGTTGTGATCTCCAACTGTGATATTTAAGATGTTTTTGATTCAGTATTTCTGCCTGTGTTGTTTAAACAATTATGAAAGAGACTTTTAAAAAAAATGTGTGGAAAATGTAATTAGCGTGTGTTTATTTTGGTGGAAAAACAATGTGGAAATTCATGCTTAGCTTTTTCATAATATGCGTTTTCATGAACTTTTTTTGAGATCCCTCATATTTGTACATGTGACGCTTCATGACTATTCCTCTCTGTTTACCACGGGGGCAAAACTTTCCTTGTGCTAGTACGAAGGCTATTTTTTTGCAAAGGCAGACATCTCTCTTGAGCTCCTTTTCTAGCAGCCATGTCTCTGGTGACCCAAAGAACACATTTGCAAGGTTACAGAGAGAGAGATGCAGTTTGTGGTCGGTAGAGTGACACTGAATGTAAATGAGACACAGCTGTGTTTTTTTTTTTTTTTTAAATAAAAATTTCACTAAAATGGTAGGCTTTCATTATCTCTGCTCATGTGAAATACTAAGGGGGTATTAAAGATTCTTTTCTGGTTCAACAAAGAAAAGTCATAGTATCATACTTTTCAGAAAACAAAGAAAGAAACTTAAGCGCCATTGGCAGTACAGTATGTCATAAAGTATGACAACCAATTACAACGAAAGACTTCATGGAGATTCAGGCTTATTTTCACAAACTATTACAGTACTCTCTAAAATCTGGTTATTTTACAGACCTCCTTTGTTAGACATTCCATTTGCAGGAGCAGTTTCATAAAGCTGAAGAGATATGCTTTTCTGCAGCATGGGAAAGCCTTGTACATAAATGACCATAACGATTTTTCTTGCATTAGTCAAACCCACATGGCCTTTAATAGGTGAATAGTTAGCATATATACTATAGCCACACAATGGAATACTGTTCTGCAATGAAAAGGGAAGAACCATTGGTAATGTGGGAACATGGACTAATCTTAAATAATTATGCCACGTGAGAGAAACCGGGCAAAAAATAAGTATATACTGTATAATTCAATTTATATAAAAATCTAGGAAATGCAAACTAGTGAAAAAAATGCACTCTAGTGAAAAAAGCCCAGTAGAAACCTAGTGATGGTAGGGGTTGGAGAGAGAGGAAGGGAGAGGAAGAGATTACAAAGCGCAACTAGGGGGCCAGCTCCATGGCTTCGGAATTAAGGGAGCTGAATCCTTGGGACCAGCAGTTGGCGTCATGACTATGTCGCTGGACTCCCATGTAGTCAACCGTGGTTTGAATCCTGGACCCGGTGGCTTAAACTCACACTGGGTGCGTGTGCGTGCATGCCCAAGATCCTGAGAGGAGAATGGAGGAGAAGAAATTGCGGCGTGGCCATGTGGCCATCCCCCCCCCACCCCCGGGGAGGGGTGTGATTTTCACCTTCTGTCTCTCTGTCTCTCTCTGTCTTTCTGGTGAGCTCTAGCGCCCTATAGCAAAAACCTCTCCAAAAAAAAAAAAAAAAAAAAAAAAAAAGGGAGGGAGCTGAATCCCGTATGACTAAGTGTGAGTTTTGAATCCCAGCCCTAGCAGCTTATAAAACCCTCTGAGCACATACATATGCATGCCCAAAATCTCGAGAGAAGAAATGGAGGAGAAGGGACTGTGGTGTGACCACACCCACTGGGAGATGCTTTCTCCCTCTCCTTTCTGTCTCTGTCTCCCTGTCTTTCTCTGGCAAATGCATGTATACTCGGGCAATTTGGGAAAACAAAACAAAACAAAAGAACAACAACAACTGGACATATATAGTTACTGCTTTGATGGTGATGCTGGCTTATGAGTGGATACACATGTCAAAACCTGCAGGTTGTACACTCTAAATATGTGCAGTCTCTTATACGTAAATTATATCTCAATACAAGCTTGTAAGAAAAGCAACGCAAATCATTCACTTGCATACATCCTCCACTCCCTTGTTCTTTTTTCTTAAAGCTTTGCAGATTGGCAAAACTACAATATCTGCCAAATGCATGCCTGACATGTGTGGTTGGCAAAAAATAAACAAGGAACCGTGACTAGTGACACTTGGAAAGGCATTATTTTATAAAAGAGCATGTACAACACAAAACTCATTTTTCTTTAAAAATTGCATGAACATATTACTTAAAAAGACATTGAGAAGGTTCGAAACCAAAAAGTAAATGGTGACTATTTTCTAGTAGATCACGTATTATTGTTTATCTACTTGTTTATACTTTACTATACAATCTGAAGTTTTTATGGTGAATACTGATTATTTTGATAATTATTAAAGCTTAAAAGTCTATTTCTTTTTTTGGTTATTTCTCATGTTGTGATCTTCCTGTTTCAGTCCCCTGAGTAGCTGGGACTACATGTGTGCACCGTTGCCCCTGACTTTTTAGAATGGGCCAGGAATTGAACCCAGGCCTCACGTGTGTCCTCTGCCCACTGAATATCAATGTCTACTAGCACATGCTATGGTGGCTGGACCCAAAAAATCTATTTCTATTTTTAAATATTAGAGTAGACTATCAATTCTATAGGGTGTGTTTAGTGCAGCCGAGCATGGAACTGGGTGACTAGGAGGATTCGGAGGCTGCTCTGGCACACTGAGAACTTGGAGATGTACCTTTTGGCTAGTCTGACATTTTTCCTTGCTGTTTTCTCTCGTCCCTGTAGCTGGAAGACGAAATTACAACATTACGACAAGTTTTGTCAGCAAAAGAAAGGCATCTGGTTGAGATAAAACAAAAACTCGGCATGAACCTGATGAATGAACTGAAACAGAACTTCAGCAAAAGCTGGCACGACATGCAAACTACAACCGCGTGAGTAGGATGTTAACAGAACTTCTAAAAACTGACTTGGCCTGCTAGCTCACCACTCTTCTGTTTTGTTTTTCTTTCTTTTTTTTTTTTCCCCCCCTTCAAGGCCTTCTTGATTTTTGTAGCTAGAAAAATATGTTCTTTAGAAGCGAAATAAAGAAATGTGGATAATCATTAAATAATTGCATGTGAAGAAGACTTTTTAAAAGTAGTTCCACAAAATAAAACTTCATTCATGAGAACTATTTTTTGGGCTAGCCTTGAGACCTAATGATTAAGGAAGCCACATCTTACATGGCTGACCATAGTATTAGTCCTGGTCCTTGTTTCTTGAAAAGCCCATTAGGTATGTGTGTGTGCTCCAGATCTCAACAGGATGGGGAAATGGAGGAGATGTGGCATGACCACATCCAATCAGGGAGTATTGTCTCCCTCTCTCTCTCTCTGTCACTGTCTCTGTCTCTTGCTGGCAAGCACACACACCCTCTGGCAAATTAAAACAAAACAAAAAAACAAAACAACACTTTCACTTAAGATTACTTTTATGGGGTCTTATGTTTAAACCTTTTGTCTTTATTATATGCTTTTAAATATTTGTTTAAATACCTATATTTTTTTTCCTCACAAAAATGATAAATGGGGAGATATTTTTTTCCTCAGAATAGTTGTTTTAGCATTGATTTGTTGGTAATTGAGTTTTTAAAAAATCTTGTACCTCTCATGTTTTGGCATGTATTTTTCATCCTTCACTACTCTAGGGAATACTTAGAGTTGGGTTTAGACCAACACAGTGCTTTCGCTGGATTATTTTTTAAGTTACATGGACTATAATTATGGTGGTACTTTTCTAATAATTAAAACATTTTGCCTGCAAAGGAGTCTTGTAGTAGAGGGGAAAAGGTTCACAGATATGTGATGTGATTGTATAGAGGATAATAGGTTAGGGCTTGATGGAGAAATAGAAGAGCTTCCTAGTCCTAGCCCCAGCTTTAGACCCAAATTCGACCATTAAGAGATTTTTGGTCTGGGGTTAAGCATTTTCTTCTTTGGTATTACCCACTGGAAGGTAAAAGAATTGCATTCTCAAGTTGAAATCCATTTTTTCTTCTTGTGGTGCTTTTCTCCTAGTCATGGGGAGAGGCCTGGTAGTAGGAAGGAATACCAGTGGTCAACAGCAATTATTGAAGTTTTGCAGAAGCCAACTTGGCCTGCTGGTTCCTACACATGAAAGTGTGAGGTCTTTCATTTCTTTAAGAAGATGCCCTTTGCAGAGTTTGATCGAAAAGGAGCCTGAAGTCTTGCAATATGGTCTCATAGTCTCCATGGACAACGTGCCTCTACCCCATAAAATGGCTTGGCAGTCCCATACACCTTTCTGCTTGTGCACCCTAAAGGCCTACCCAGACAGACTCAGGGCACATTTGAGTAGGACAGGATGGAGTAGGCAAACCCATCAGTTTATCTCCAGAAGCCAAACTGGCATTTTCCAGACTGAGGGTGTCCTTATGGAAACATAAGAATTACAGATTGATACGCAGCAATTTTTAAAAGATATATTACAATGCCCTGTGTGAACAATCCCCTCAAAAGGCTAGCTGGATTTTAGGCATAAATTACATTAGCTTATCTGTCAGCAGTTTTGGAATCTGTCTTCACATTTTGGTGGCCTATACCAGTGAGTGGCCCTGGTTGCCTTGGTATTTAACCCAGGTCTAGAGACTTCATGTCATACTGATCTAAACATTGTTAGGGAGTCTAAAAAAAGGAAAGATCTTTCTGCTTGGCCTTCATATGAGGCATAGAGAAATTCTGGTAATTCTGTTGCTAAAAGGGAGTAGGGAATGTCTGGGGACTGGATGCATCAAGTTTGCCCTGCGTCTTAAACAGGAGGAGTGGGGAGACTCATATTCCACTCAGGATGTGGAACTAAAATAGGTAAATTCAAAGCTTCTGGTCTCTTTGCACAGAACAGAATATGTATTGTGTTTACTCATATTTGAAAAGCAATTGTTTTTGTGTCCAAGCAGCCTACACAGTGTAAAGCTTTTGGCTGGATAAATAGAGCAGGTTTATTCCCAGGGTTGTGGATCTTTGATTCTGGTCAGAAAGACAGAATTCTGGTTTTTTGTTTTGTTTTGTTTTTTGTTTGTTTGTTTGTTTGAGAGTATTTTTTGTTTTTGTTTTGTTTTGTTCTGTTTTTGCTCTAGGGCGTGTACACTCACCAGAAAGACAGAGAGACAGAGAGACAGCAAGAAATCACCCCCCGGGGGGAATGGCCACACCGCAATCCCTTCTCCTCCATTCTCCTCTCGGGATCTTGGGCATACACACACGCCCAGTGTGATTTTAAGCCACCAGTCCGGGACTTGAAGCGCAGTCAACTACGTGGGAGTCCAGCTACAGAGTCGTTACGTCAGCTGCTGATCCCTGAATTCTGTTTTCTTTCCTTTCTTTCCTTTTTTTTCCCCCCACAAGCTAAATGATAAGTGTAAAAAGTAATGCGAAGGGAAGCACAAGGTATTGTGGGAAGGTAGAGTGGCCCTTGCCTGGGATCTCTCGGGAGAGGGTTTCGTAGGTCAGGGGATGTTGACACAAAGGTTTGAAGGGTGAGTCAGAATCCAAGCAGGAGGGTCAGGAGGAGCCTCCCAGGGGAAGAACAGCCCAGAGAAGGACCAGGCAGAAGAAAAGCATTTAGTTAATTAGCATCATTGAGAAGTGGCAGAGGTGGCTTCACACAGGGCCTTGTGGCATCTGTTTATAAAATTACTCTTTATCCACAGGCAGTAGCAAGACATTAAAGGTGACAGTTCATTTGTCCAACAAATATTAGTGAGTGTCTACTATTAGGCATTATTACCTGGTGAGGAGGAGGTCACTAATTTAAGTCCTCAGGATAATGGGGTTCAACAAAGATGGGCAAGGTTCTTAATCTGTTTGAATGTTGAAAGGGAAAATAACAAAAAAAGCAAACAATGAAATAAATGAATGAAGAACTATCAGGAAGTGCTATGTTGAAACAAGCCTAGGGAAAGTGCTGGAGAGGATAGAAGCTGCTTTGATCGGGTCCCAGGGCAGGATTAAAGGAGGCTCCTGTGAGCTGAGACCTGTGGTGATCTGGAGGGAGCTTTAAGGCAAAGGAAAACTTCCCACACAGCCCCTGGTATGAGAACTAGCTTTGTAGTTTCAGGGGCCAAAGGAAATCAGTCATTTCTAGATCATAGGGAAAGCAGATTAAGTCAGAGTCCACGAGGCCTCCCAGGCCTTGAAGAAGAGTGAGGAGGTTATTCCAAGGGCTTTGGATGCCATTGGAGGGTTTGAAACAGGAACTGACCTGCTCTGATACACCTTTTAAAAAGGTTACACTGATTACATGGAGTCATAAAGATTGTGGAGGAACATGAGTGGAAACTTGGAACTAATTGTTTATGAGATCAGCACAACAGTTCTAGTGGGCAATGATGGTGTGAGATAATTGTGGACAGAGAGGGTATAGGATTGGATAAGGCCAACAGGATTCCCAATGGGTTAAGGTGTACAATGAGGGAAACAGGGGTACCAAGGGGGGCTCAGTTCTTTGACTTGGGCTACTGGGGTAGTACTGGTTTTGATTAGTGCCATGGCATTGTAGTTACTCTCATAGGCTAGAGACTCATTGCATGGATTGAAATCTAAGTCCACTGTATCTGTGAAATGCAATTGTGTTAGTACGTACCTCAAAGGCAATGAGAATCCAATGAGTTACTATTTGTGAAGCACGTAGGAATGTCTGACACTTTGTAGGCATGCAGCAATGACTAATTCACATTGTGGGAAAGACCGAGAATCAAGTCTAGAGGGGAGAACCCAAGAATCCTGTTGGGCTGTGTGAAATCTAGAATGCCCGATAAACAATCAGGTTCACATGCGGAGAGGGCAGCTGAGAGGAAAGTTAAAGGTAGAGATGGACATCTGGGAGTCATCTGCGTGGAGATGTGATTGAATACTGTAGGACTAGGTGAGTTTTCCTCTGAGACTATTTAATAAATAGAGGATCAGGATTTTAAAGAAAGAATTCAGTGAATTTTCCTTTGTAGGGAAGAATCCATCGTTTTCTTAAGAAGGAAGAGGCATCTGTCAATCGTATAATTGTGGGAAGAGCTCTTTCTTTCACCCTTGGCTGCTGAGGGAAGGGGGAAGGTCTTAGTTATATTTTGAGGGGAGCGAGAACAAACTCTTTTTCCTCCCTTAATTAATTGAATTCTGACTTTGTTACTGTTCATGGCACCCATTCCAGGACAAGATCTGCACCTCATATGATGAAAGATTTGATGTAAGGGAACGATAAGCTACGGTTGGGTGAGGTTGGGTTGAATTAGATTTCAAAGCACTAAAAAGAATTTCAGCTGTCAGAGGATGTGTTTGATTCCCAGAGGCAATACTTTGCATACTGATTAAGCCGTCATGACCTATTTAGTTTGATTTATAATGAAAAGAAAAATCTATGGTATGTTAATGAAAGATCTTGGCACATTTTAGTCTGCAGTAGGATTCAAATAGGAATAGGATCTGATGAGTAGGAATAATTGCACGGCAGATCGAAATGATCTCCTTTACAGAAAGAGTCCAGGAATACAGAGCAGGTCAAGGGATCGCCTGTGCCCAAGGTTTGTTGTTGCTGCTGTTCTTGGAAGATTTTTACCTGCCTAGATTTGAAAGAATTAGAGAACATGCAAAAACAGCCTTCCACTTTCTGTTTGCTGCTGCCTTTTTATGTTGTCTATAGGCCTAAGGGAAGCACGGGGGAGATGGGTGACCTTGGGGTGAAGAAGGAGAAAAGGAATCTCTTCTGTAAGTAGAAGTGGGAAACAGAAAATATAACATATCGTGGGCTAAGGCATCATTTATTTAAGAAGTGTTTCACTTTGCTTATTCATGAAACCCTCCCAATTAATAAACACCTCTGAGTTGTGCCACAGACCAAATGCTAGGCCTGCGAGGGGAGGTTTTGGAAAGGAATTAAAACC